CCAAGAAAGTCATGCCAGGTGCAAGCAGGGTAATTCCTTACCTGGCATGAAACAGCTTCCTGCGCGGGATCCGCGCTCACTCTCCCTCCTCAAGCACAGCTTCAGAGCTTGGATATCCATTCAGCCAAAACCACGCGCCCAACTCATGGCTGTGAGAAGGCATCCAGCTCTGCTAGAGACAGAGCACATCACATCCCCTCTGAATTTCCCATTCCTACTGGCTGGTCAGGGCCATCCCCGGCTTGGCAGCCTGCCTGCTGTGAAATCTGCTTCCAGATGCCACGTGTTCCCCACGCATTGCAGTGGAAACCTATTAAATAAGGGAATTTCACCCAGGGGGATCTTTAGCATCAAAGATCGTTACGCTGATTGTCAACATGCCTGAGCTCCTCTTTGTATCTTGCTTCCATTTGTAAAAGTCCCTGTTATTTTGAAAATTGACTCAAAAAGTCTTGTTATAGATGCAGGTCTGCACTCAAATTTGGTAGCCTGGCTCACTTCTTTACTGACCTTCCATTTCAGTGTTCCTGTTTAAAGTGAATTTTGCAAGAAGGGATTTTTCCAAGGCACCTATCAGTGTGGATTCACCATCAATGCAACACATTTTTCCCAAAGAGGTTTCTAAATAAATTTTAATTCCGATAGGCTCAGGCAAATGTTTTCAATTTGATTCAGTAATCCATACACACTTATAAATGGCTTTTCCCCCATGTAAGACAAGACAAATGCGGTTTATGCTTCTAACAACTTTGGCTAAGAAAAAATTCTTATTTCTTATTCTGAATGGTACAAACACGTAATGTGTATTCACCTTTCAATGAACCAGATGAATTTCTTGTTCTGAATGGTACAAACACATAATGTGTATTCACCTTTCAATGAACCAGATGACAAACAAATGAAATAAAATCAGCCTTTAAGAGCATTATTTGAATCATTAATTCTCTAAATGATTCATAAAGAATACATGATTTTTGGCAAACTCACAAAAAAAAATAAAAACCCACCAAAAAAGTCCTGTAATACAGCTTTCTAAATCTCCTGAGAATTTTGCATTATTTCCTTTTAGAGAGTAATATGAAACCTCTTCAGGATGTCTTTTAAAATCTGAGCAAGTTCTCAAAAAAGGTAATTCCAGCACAGTTACTACTAGATATCAGACAAGAGTGGCATGAAGTTTAGGGCTGGAGGTGGGGGATGCCAGAAATATCATCTCCTCTAATAGCATCAAGTGTGTAAGTCCATCCATAAGATGGACTAAAGTGTAGACAGGAGGGCCGGTGGAGGTCAGGGTGAAAGACAGGTTCTCAATTGGCAAGCATCTTCACAGTACATGGAGCAAAACCTGACTATCTGGAGAGGTAGGGAGGTGTTTGGCTCACCTCCAGTTCCATAACTGTGTCTTCAAGTCAGTTAAAACTCCTACTCTGTGCTAGAAGTACAACCAGGCAGCATTTCTAGAGCTCACCGAACACTGGATCCATCAGATCAATATTGACTGAATAATAGGCAAAATTAGTATTTGATTTTTAATAGCCTATTTTTAAGATTATCCAGGGTGATAATGTTAACCTAGAAAACTACAATTTGATATTATCATGTTAATATTGAACTTACCTACTGTGCATTAGAGTTTCACAGCTACTATTTTACTTAAATAGCAGCTTCTGAGAGGATGTAATATGTGAGTTCTTGTCCTAACTGTAGTAATAATGCTTCAGTGTTGGAACAAGATACTGTCTTACAAACCAGCGCTGATGACAATGGAGAGAGAGTGAAGAGTTGACTATGACTAGAAAGCTTATGGCTGTAAAAACACTGCCTAATGAGAAATCTTTTAAATAATCTCTTCTAAGAGAATTGCTTTGCATATGACTACAAAAAGAGGTAAGTATTTCCAACATATAAATGAAATATTTGGTAAAAATCTATAATTTCGCAGGAGCATTAATGCCATGTGCCCCATGGGCAGCAGAAAACAAACTATTTCCCTGTCACCAAAATATCAGTAATCTATGCAACAGTCTACAAGCAATTATAAGAAACCATAAAAGAACTTCAAACACACATCCTACCCTGCTGCAGAGAGTTAGTCCATCTCAGTAGCAGGACTTTGCATTTGCCCTCACTGAATATCAGAGGCTCTTCCTGGACCTTTCCTCTAACCTGTCCAGGTTATTAAATTGTTTAACTCATGACGTTACAGTGCCTTTAACTCAACATGGGCACTATGCACCAGTGTACAAGCCACATCATCTGAATAACCACCATTTTCTTTTGAGCCATCCTCCTTCAGCAAGAACAGCCGCTTGCATTTATGACGCAACATTTTATCATGTTTTATATGCACATACCTTACAAATCTGAGGAATTAAGCTCTGTATTATTTCAAGTTCTCCACATACAAAACACTACCTTACTATATCCTTATACAGACAGAGAGAGATTTAAAGATTTAGCTGACACGACACAGAAGACTTAGGCTGAGATCAGGTAAGGACCCTATTGCATGCTCTAACTCCATACTAATCCTTATCCCCTTTCGGTCACCTCAGATCTTCAGCACAGGATACACCTGTGCGACAGTCGTTCCATTAAAAAGTTATTATCAAACTTACTGTTTTTTCTCAGCACAGTACTGTGAACTGCAGATGACAAGACAACTACCAGGACGGTAGATAATACAGCAAAAGAGTGGAAATGACTCTGGGTGGAAATGGTTGCACGGCACTTGCAGAAGTACGACAAAACCTGATTTGCTGGAAATACATTTGAGCTGAAATTTCTGTTTATAAAGCAAAGACTAATTTCTTGGGAATCAGTTCTATTGCATAATCAAACTCATTGATTAGTAACATCAGAGACTTCATGACAGTACTTGCTACCTGTCACTTCTCACAGTTAATGAACTTGGGAAAACAGAAGAAAAAACAAAAAAAATCCCCTGTTTTTCACATGTCCCTCATTCACACCATAGAGGGGAGGTCTCATTTGTTGAAATACACACAAATACACACAATTCAAAGACAAGGAAATAAGCACACAAAGGTTATTTTGACTTTCATTAGGTGGGATTTGAATAGCAAACACTCTGAATTGTGTACCTTGTCTGTATAAAGCATTCACTGTGCCAGGAGACCTTTGGATGGCTGGATGTGATCGGATGCACTCAGACTTGCACACACAACACACAACAAGATTAATCCTGGAGATGTGCTACTGCCATACACTGTCCCTTCCAGTTCTTGAGATACTTGAACATGCTGCAGGGAGATCTGATCGCTGCCACAGAACATATTTTATACTTCCCTGCAGTAAAGGTAATTCTCAGGATTTCTACTTGGGGGGTAGAATCAGATTTTGTGCAGAGAAGCATTCAGTTATTATGATTTATGAAAATGTTTTAAGAAGTTGGATGCTGAATATTTTATTGACATAAACATCAAGTTCCTAAAACAGTTGTTTGCTGTTTTCAAAAGTTTCACCCTCCAGCAGAAGAAATAACATAGGAGATGCACATCAAAAAGATGTTATGCATATTGCAAAGAACTGACATTTTTCAATTTCCTGCCTCCCCAAAAATACTGAATGATCATACAACCAAACTGTCTTTACTTTCTTTACTTGCCTTGAATGTCTCTCTCAGATGACATTCTCATTTACATCAAAGTTTCCCCTATTTTGCCCTTCCTAACTACAGCTTCTTTATCTTAAATTAATCATTTTTTCCTTGTGAGTTTAGGCCTGGAGTCGCCATAAAGATTCTAAACCATCTTCTCAAACTTTTTAATTGCTGTGTCTCTTTTTAAAAATGCTTACATAAAGATTTCTGATAAGAAAGCTATAGACATCACAAAGCCTTAATTACTGCAGTAAAAGGTATAGGTGCCCAGAAGTTGAACAAACTATTTATCAGATACCTAAGATTAGTAAAATTTGCACCACACACATACATGAGCAAAGATGAGATTTTTTTTGTCTTAAAAAAATGTAAAAAATCCTCAGAAGTAAATGACTAAATTATGCACCTACAAAAAGAAACAGAACGACAAACTGAAAAGCTCACATGAAAGTTCAAATTTTGCTGCCTCAAGTATTAAACCATTAAGCATGTTTTTTTTTCTTTTTGTTTTACTTTTTTATTTCATTTGAGCAATCCATGTTAAACCTGTTTTAAATCTCAATTTCATTATCTGTATAGGTCAAAAAAAAAAAAAATCAAAGACAGCTACACAGAACAACATGAATTACCGCCAGATTGAAGGTCTTGGCTTCCAAATTCCTCAGTACTTAAAACCATAAGCAATAAAAATACTAATAAAAATCTACGCACAAAAATCCCTACTAAAAATCTTTCAGTACACCTCTTCATAAGAGCTGAATTCGTACCATTCCATTTCTCATGCTTATGAGACCAAGGAACTGCCTTACAATCTGATGCAAAATTGTAAATACAAATATGAATTTATCCAACCATGCATTTATTCATAGTTTCTCTTTAATTTTGAGTTTTCCTCCTCCTCCTAATTTATATTTCCTTTGCCAAATTACAATTAATCTCTCTATAGATTGCTGAGTTCTCTAACTTCACAAAGTGTCAGTTAGATTTAACCTCCAGTAACAGAAAGTGCATTCAAGCTCCGGTTTGTTCAAAACAGAGCAAAAACCAAGCCTTTAGAAGAAAATTAATTTATCATCAGAGAAAAAAGTTATCTTCTGCTAAGAGTAAGTGTTAAAACTGTATTTCCATTTGTGGAACAATCACAATATAGAGTAAAAATTAATGAACCGTAATACATAAATTCTTTCTTACATTCTAAATATATTTCAATAAAATATATTTTTCATTTCAGAGAATCAAATCCCATGTTCCCATACCAGACTTCCACTGGGCTTAACAAATTTTACTTTCAGTGAGCGCACAGATGCATAAAAGACAGCTGATGTAGGAGCTGATTAAAGTACAAAATACATATGAATAAAGAGAAATGAGTCACTACCTTTCTTTTTGGAGTCTTTCTTTGTGCTGGTTTTAACAGCCACTTGAAGTTCTGTCTCAGTTGACATCCTATATCCTTAGTCCTCTTCACACAGATCCAGGATCTCGGTCAGGCTCATTTAGAATGTCTCTCCAAGAGAATAATTTAGTCTTTCAGATACTATAACCCAAACAGTTCATCTCATTCACTCCTTTCGAGTGCTGTTAAGGAAAAAAAAGTAACAGTCATTTTCTGAGTTTAAAACATAAAAAAAAAAAGTCAGCCATTGCAAGCTTCCTGAGGAAGAAACCTATGAAGTTCTCCATCTCCAGAGTCAACTGCCCACCATTTTTAATGCTTAAACACAGTCATCTAGCCCTGGTGAGATGTTCTGGCATATCTGAGATGTCTCCACAGGCTAGAGACACCACACAAGGTGTACAGAAGACCTGTACTTCTGGACTAGCAGCTGGAGGACAAAGACTATGATCTGCAAAGTAGCTGGAAATGTCACCAATAGCAAAACCATTGTCTAGGACTCATTTCTTAAATGCAACAACTCCAAGGTAAAAACATATTGCCAAATATTAATTACAGATTTTTACTCCTCAAATGCTGTTTCAATGCTTTCATTCTCCTACTTGAACAAAGACAAAAGAAAAATGTATTCATTACTCATACTGAGAACATCACACTTCACCCCTCCTCTTGCTTATGATAAGTATGTTTCCAGTATAAAAGAATCCATCTTCATGTAAACAAAGCTGTACTTCTTAACACCCACCCAGTAATTTTTCTAGCAAAGAACTCTGAAAATATGGTTAATTAAACCCACAAAATACAAATGAGATAGAGGACAAAAAGAATAACCTTTAGACAGCAAGAAACAGCTTTACACAACGTGTATTTGTTGGGGAGATACGCAAATGCACCAGCTGTGAACCCACAGCAGTGACTGCGGAGAGGTGCTGGAGCAGTAAAAGGGGGAGGCTGCAGGTAGGACTGGGCACATATGGGCTGTGGAGGCAAAGAATACACAAAGAATAAACAACCAAGCAAAGAATAAACCATTACTCCAGTTCTTACTGCTGGTCCTTCTTGCTTTGAAGGATGAGCCACCTACTTCACCCAGTCTGTTGAGGGCAGAGGACCATCCCATCCTGAAGTCATTTGTCATGATGTTCCCTCACTAACTGCATCTTCGTATTGCTCTTTGTTTTTGTGGAAAAGTTCTCATTATTAGCACAATTACAGCAAAGTCCATCTGGCCTGTCTGAACAGCTGCCCAGTTATTAAATAAGCATTTAATAAAGAAATTAACCCAGCATATCAGCTGGTTAGCCAGCCAGAGATTCACTACAGTTATCGTTATTTACTAATGTCCCTTCTCTGCCATTTAAGAAAGTAATACACTGCAAACATTGACATAATTTTTTACAGTTTAAATCACTTTTCACAGGAAGGGCTGTGAAACCACTAGTACTTTCAAATCCAGGCTCTTTCAATGTTTTAAAATGCTTCAGTATCATCACACTGCCATGCACCATCTGAAGTGATTTAATATTGCTGAAGTGTGTCAGGGGCTTTCTTTAATAAGCTCTTCAAATCTGTATGTGTACTACAGAATACTCAAAGATGGCTTTTCAAAATCTGCTGAACTGATTGGAAAATACAAAATTCCTTGTTCCTTCTCTATGGAGTCTGAATAAGGGCTGCATAGCGAAAAGGAGGAAAAATAAAGCAACTTACAAATCAAAGTCACAGTGCTCGCTAAATACACCTTCTTGGAATACCCGAATCAACTAGAAGAATTTTGATTAACGTTTTTAGTTAAGAAAACAGTAGAAAGGGACAAAGCAAATCAGGTTTGATCAAAGAGAGAAAAGTAAGATAACAGCCCCAAAACCAACAGTCTTTCAGGATCCAAAGCACTCTTTGGCCGGGTGCACGGAAAGGGAGACGTCTCTCCCCCAGACACTGTGATGGTGGGACACCACGTGCACTGACCGCTGGGTTCCAGCACAGACCAACACACTCACCGTGCTGCGAGGGAACCACCTCACCCTACGTCGACGAGTCGCTCTTCCCTTACGCTTGAAATCCCCCCAGCGAACAGGGAGAAACACGCTGCAGAGAACAGATGTCCCTCGCAACCCCCATCTCCTTCCCCTCCCCCTGCACACAACCCAATTTAATAATATTTAGTTTTACAGCACAGTAGGGATGCATCAGTCTTTACAGCTCAATGGCACTTATTTAAAGCATCTCTCAAGTCACAGCTGGATTGACAGTTTATTTTGCTAGAATTTGAATTTATATTTACCTAAAGGTTAACCACTAACTTTGCAAGATGCACTAACACGAACCACTTAACAAAAGAAAAATGTTTGTAATAGGTCCATTTATAATAAAACCCAAACAAAGAAAAAAAAAAAAGAAATACAAAATACCCTCGGGGGCAAGAGTTAAGCAAGTTTTCATGTCTTAGAAGACTGTTGTGGGTACACAGCATCAAGAATGTCATCTCCTGTTGTCAGCTGCTTTCGATAGGATAGCTGAAATACTAGCATCTGAACGGGACTGAATGTTTTAAAGTAACAACATATGACTGCTGTCTTATTTGAAACTCTCCAGAAAAGCTATATCCCCTCGAGGCTACTCCACCGAGTAATATTTTTTAAAATAAATGCATGTCTATTTTCGGACAGGTTCACATATTGATTTACTTTAAAACCTAATCAGGTCATACTCTCGCAGGCTCATAGATCCTTGAATAAAGTAATAGGTATCTTTGTAAAGGAGCACATAAACATCTGTCAGGTGCAAGCTATAGTTCAAACTGAATTTGCTACAGAGACAATTCCTCCAAAAGTGTAGGTCTTTATGTAAGCTACATTAGTAAACTTTCATATACTGTCCATATTTCAGCCGTTTATTACCCAGATGAGAATGGCAGTCAATCTGCTCTTCACTGCAACAGCTTTTATTGTCTCCTCCAATCTAGGTCACCATTGTTAAATACTACGGTCTTCCAACTGTGGGAAGTATTGCAGCATGTGTTTTATCAATGAGACACTATTTCCTTTGATCAGTTCTGCCACATTTCTCTCCCTGCTCTAAAGACAAAATTTTGTTAGCTGCATTTAAAAAAAAAATAAATCCATCATCTTACACATATCCGACTCTAACGAGCTTGTGTGCCTCGTTACTCTTCCAGCTATTACAATGTTATGTGCGTGCCTCAGCTTTTGCTAAAGAGGATTGAGAACTCTTCATTTTAACAAAATACTGACATTTTCTGTTCCCTTATTAAGTGGCTCCAGCAGGAACACAATCAGCGCATTCTGGAATTAACTGGCTTTTAGAGAAGTCTTAAGCCTGCATTCTCTATTACTCCTACGCCAGCATAAAACCTAAAGTCTTAGTGAAGAAATATTTTTGTAAATTCACTTTGCACTTAGGATTAACACAGATTGGACCTTTTACATGCAGGAAAATTAGCCACGTGCTCCGCCTGCCTCCCCCACGCATTTGTAAAACAACAATTTCTGTCAAATCATTTGTCTTTTCAACCACGCTTGAGCGAGCTCATGAAGGGGTTATTAGGCGACTTCCCATGGGCCGAGTTATGAAGGGGGTCAGACAAGAGGATCATAATACTTCCCCTCTGGCTTTAAAATACATGAATTTATTTATTTTCTTCAGGGCTTCAAAACTTAAGAAGTTCCCTCCCCTGAAACCAGTCTCCATCTGCTTATGTAAAGGAAAAGCAGTCTTAGAAAGGATTTGTAACTAAGCCCTGGCATTCCCTAGGTATTTAAGTTCTCCACAGCCCCAAAGTGGGATTTGACAGGCTCTTCACAAGAGGATGGTACCTCCCACACCCTGGTTTGACAAAACAGAAGCCACGCTACCATCCTTAGCTCTTACTTTAACACCTCTTCCAATTCACTTCCTTTCTTCCAAAGCACCCAATATAATCATTCGTAAGGGAACGTCAATGCCAATGATTTTGCAAGTCTTAAACAAAGCCCAAACAGATTAAAAGGGCAAAACGTAAGTGACAAAATTATTTTTAAAGTGCTGTGATCCTGGAAAACTGGAAACAGTTCAAGCATGAAGGACTGCTCTCCAGGGAGAAAAGTGTTACTCAACTTCTCATCTGACCATGAAGCCTAACGAAGAGAACCTCAGCGGGACCGCACACGAACAGACAGTAGAAAAACCCACCATTGTCATCAGTGCCCCTTACACCCTCCAGAGAGGAGGCCATGAAATCCTTCGGAGCTGCTTACACTGTTTTGTACTCATCAGCTCATTTCCCTAATGGTCAGGTCTTGTAAACATCCTGCGGGAAGCTATTTGGTACCAGAGTATTAATCTTTTACAGAAGGCACCACACTAAATCCAAACTGAAAGCCAAGGGACTGGTCCAAAACCCACTGAAATATTTCAGATAATAAGGCCTGTAAGTAAGAACCAGAAGACAAGGAAGATAAGGTAAAAGAGAGAGCTTAAGATACCAACACAGAGGAGAAAATAGGGAGGAAGAGAAAAGCAAACAGAAGATGTCTGCGTAGATACTTCATTAAAGCAAATTCTAGAACAACATGTTTAGCAGCACAACCTAAGCCAGCTCGTGCATTACAATCCTGGCCAGCCTGCAAAAGAAAACAATCTCCATTAGACTGTGGCATGTGCCTGGTCTCTCTTCTCTAGTTTTGTCATTTGCCCACAAAACAGCATAACAAACTTTCTGGTGACAAAGTCAAACGACTCTCTGTCATGGCACCCCATGGCAATCACTGCTTTTTCCTGCAATTTCTCTACTGGTATTTCTGTATCCTGTAAAGGTGGAAGGAAACTTACTGGTCCTGTGCACAAACTGAGATCCTACACAAAAATTCCTTCCCTTAGCAGACATGGGAAAGCCAAGTGCCCTGTTTAACTCCTCAAATCTACCCTTGCAAACTGCAAATGCTCCTCTGAAACCTGGCACCCTAATACTTCTCCTACTACCTCCCTAAGTTGCACAGCTTGCAAAGACTCTCAACCACCTCTGTATTTCATACTTAGTTTTGTTTGCTCTAAAATGAGCGAGTACTCCCCTCCACCTCTGATTTTCCATATATTAAGATACAGGGAGAAGATTTACATGCTTTGTTATGCCATCTGTACTATGTCTGCAGTGAGACACCAGAATGATACTTCCTAATTAATCCCT